CAGTCTGCATGGTGGTGACACCTGCAGCCCTGCTGGCGGTCCCGGAGCAGGGACGGTGGGGAAGGCCAGCTTGCTGGGGGCCGAGAGAGACTCCAAGGCTGGTTCCTGGAATCCCAGCTGGACAAGGAGGAGGGGTGGCTGCAGTGACTGGAGCCAATGGAGTTGGGGCCTCCATGCTGCTGGTTTCTGGGTGAACACCTGCAAAGGAAGCAGTGAGCACCACATCCCGTGAGGCCCTGGGGGTTCCTGAGAGAAGACGTGTACTCCGTTAGCACAGGCCAGGCACACAGGAGGGCTGGGAATGATTGAGGCAGTGTGGTCTCCACCAGCTCCACAGTGACAGTGACCACGTCCAGTAGGGAGGCCAGCAGCTGTGCAGGACTGGCTGCCCTTCCTTCCCTGATAACTTCCAAAAGTTAGAAGCCGGCGACTGGCAGGCACAAGTCCCCAGAGCTGACGGGGGGAGGCAGCCTTGAGTCCTGGGTAGGAGCCTGTCACGGTCGCCCGGGCAGTGCCCGCAGCCCCAAGGAGGCCCCTCTGTCTGGCCCGGCCTGCCACGTGCAGGGTTCTCAGTCAATACCCGTCATTCCCCAGAGTCAGTTTAACAAGGACAGTGGGGGACCGGGGAGGCTGAGAAGGAAGGATGGAGGTCCGGGCCAGGGAGGCTGTGTGGGACACTCGGCTCAGCACGCAGAGGAGAGGGAAGCAGGTGCCCGCTGCTCTGGGCACGGGCGGCCGGACAACTTGCGTAGGTTCGGGCCCGTTTGCTGGGAAATTTGCAGAGAGGAGAGGGGAGAGTTAGTGCCGTTGCCTTGGCAACCGTGCTGTCACATTATAATGAGGCTGGCAGCGGAAGGAGGCTTGTCTTAAAGGAGCTCAAAGCATATGGATTTGGTGGCGTCCAGAGGAGCCTCAGCAAGAACTGGGCTCCTTGCGGGGCACTCGCTGGTCCGAGTTCCATCAGGAGGACAGCGGGGGCTGGGGGGTGTACCCCAGAACCTGCTGTACCAGATGAAGAACAAAGTGGCACCTGATGGCTCCGTACCCACTGGGTCACATCCCAGCACGGCTTGGGGGCTCAGGCCTGGCATGGAGGGACGGGAGCCTGAGGCCACCAATCTGTGGCTCTTCACGACTTCCCAGATGGGAAAGCCAGTGAGGTAAGAAGAAAGACAAGAACCTAAACTGGTCAGCAGAGAGGTGTGGCAGCTTCCCTGACTGTGGCCCTTGCACCCAGACTTTAGCCAACCCAAAAGGGGTGAATCAAAGCAAAGAACTCAGGAGGAGCTGGCACAGGACTGGGCACCAAATCCACATAAATCCAGAACTAGGAACAGCTAATGAGGGATACTGGCTGAAGGAGCGAATATAAACATCATAAACCCTGACAATGTAAAAATAATATAGACATTAAAAATCTGGGGTTGGGAAAGAGGAGACCAGAGGAAAAAGAGGCAAAAATCTCCTGTGTTTGTAAACAGGCTGTGGCCGATATGGTCAGAATGGAAGCGTCTCTGAGCCCCAACAGTTAATGGTCGATGTGGACTTTTCTTTCTCTGCATTAGAAGCTTCTTCTAGGAGACAATATCTCGTGCAGTGAAGATAAACGAGTATTTATCAGTAATTTCTCCCTTTTCACTTTGGTTTCCCTTCCTTCTGTTAAATTCAAGAACAGTCTATTATCCTAGGCTGCAAACCACATGAGGGCTGCTCTCTTCCCTTCACAGCAGAATGTTCTTCACCCCCAACAGGAGCCTGCCCATCTTCCTCTTTGTTTCCGGCCGCTGTGCCGTGCCCGCTAGGCTCGGTCCCAGGCGTTTCCCACGCTGGGGTCGCTCGCTCCATCAGCTGCCAGCTCGGGCTGTGCCCATCACCTCCACTCGGAGAAGGTGTGGGCATGGAGGGTGACATGCCCACCGTCACGGGGTCGGGATTTGGTTAGTAGAGGACACTGCCTTACATTCTTCATTATCCTTCCTCTGCACACACGCACAGAAACACATCTGCATGGTGACCACCAGCGACCACCCTGGTGGGCTTTCATTGTCGCTGATACGTTCTGCTTTGTATTTTATTTTTTTAAAGTAATACAATAATGAGTCTGTATAATTTTTTATAAACAGCTTTATTAAGATACAATTCACATACCACATAATTTACCCACTTAAAGTGTAGAATTCAATGGTTTTTGGTATATTACATTATTATTTTCTTAAATTGTGGTAAAAATTGTATATTTATAGTAAACTAAATATAAATATATATAGTAAAATTTTAACCATCTTAAATGTACAATTCAGTGCCATTAATTACATTCATCATATTGTGCAACCATCACCACTATCTATTTCCAAAACTTTTTCTCCCTCCAAACAGAAATTCTGTACCCGTTAAATAATCACTCCCCATCCTCTCTCCCCTCAGTCTCTAGTAACTTCTAATCTACTCTCAGTCTCTATGAATTTGCCTATTCTATGTCCCCCATATAAGCGCAATCATACAATATTTGTCCTTTTGTGAATGGCTTATTTCACTTAGCACAATGTCTTCAAGGTTCATCCATATTGTAGCAGGTGTCAGAATTCCCTTCTTTTTTAAGGCTGAATAATGTTCCATTCCATGTACTACATTTTATTTATCTGTCCATCTGTCAATGGACACTTGGGTTGTTTGCATTTTTTGGTTGTTGGGGACAATGCTGCTATGAACATGGGTGTACAAACATCTGTTCGAGATCCTGCTTTCAATTCCTTTGGGCCTAGACCCAGAAGTGGAATTGCTGGGTCAGATAGTTGTATGACTTTTAAAATAAAAACAAGTCTTGCTAAAATTAGATCTTAGATCTCAGTCCACCTGAGGAAATCAATGCCGTCTTCCTCCCCAGTCCTTGGAAACAAAAGCACAAAGACCGGGTTCGCATCCCAGCCCCATGACGTGTCACGTACCTCTGTTCTCTTCTGGACACAGGGGACAGCAGCAGTGGCCCCAGGGCACCAATGTGAAGGCTGGAGGAGAAACTTAGCAGGGGGCCCACATGCTGAAGGCGCTCAATGACTCTCCGAACCTTCCTCCTAGTTCTTTTGAGTTTATAAAGTATGTTCACCCATTCTTGTGTCTGATCTTCTCAACAGCCTGTGAGACATGCAGCGCTGGCATCATTCATTCCCATTCTACAGGAGTGGAAACTGAGGCTCAGAAAGCCACTACCCGGAAGAGCCAGGACGACAGCCGCCCCTCCAGCTCCAAGTGCAGTGATCTCTCCACCCTTTACTGTCTCTACAGCGATCACCGGGAGGCCAAGGGGCTAAGGGGCTCACAAACAACTTTCTTGTATTCAAAGTGAGGACGCTCTGGTCGGTAAGAGCAGAGGAAGAGACAAGAGAGAGAAACAACTCCCACAACCCCACCTTTCATTTCTCCAGCACCATCTCATCTCAGAATCTCGGGGTCCTCCCCGCCTGAGGGCACACCACCAGGACCTCTCTCTGCTTAAATGCCTCCAGGGTAGGGAAGCCCACTCCTCACCAAAGAGCCCAGCCCCTCTTTGCTTCCCTGTAACGTGTCCCCTGGTTGTAGCTCTGCCCTCTGGTGCTCAGAGGCGTGCTTCCTCCACGGCGGAGCCCCTCAGAGAGTGAAGGCCATGCCAGCTCTACCCTCCATCTTCTCTTCTCGAGTACTCACGCCCAGCTCCTTCACCCAACGCCCAGAGGGCACCTCCTCAAGTGCTGGGCGGCACAGTGACAGGGCAGGAGTTGGCACCTCGCCTTTGCTCTGGAACTCCCCGAGTGACTCCAGGTGAGTTACGCCCCTCCCCCAGGGCTCCAGTTTCTCCATCTGTGAAATAAGAAGGTTAGACCACATCACCCTTTGCAGCCCTGCATCTTGTGGTTATTGGGTTTAGAGCCTCTTTCCATCAGATATTTTCTTTATAGAGTTTATTTTCCAAAGACTAAACACTAAGAGAGATGCTTCTAAATACCTATCGCCACCTTAGCTTCTCAGAAAACAGAGGCGCTTGGGGCCTTCTCCCCCTAAATGGGGAATTCACATGGAAAGTGTGGTTCCCAGACAAGCTCCCTGTGGTCTGAGACTCAGCTCTCCGGCTTGGGCACATGTGAAAGGAGAGTGAGGGTGACACGGAGAGGGAGAGAGAGGGGCATCTCCACACCAGCTGGAGGAGATCTCCAGGCCTGGGGGTACAAGGACACCCCGGGCTCAGCGGGTTCTGGAAGCGCCCAGTGCTGGCTTATGAGCTCCTCTCTTAGGTTCTGGGGTCAGGGAAGGCATCTTGGGTAGGCAAAGCTGTGTCCTCTGTAGCCATGCGAATACACATGCACACAATGCAGACCCACAGGGAGCCTTACAGGCCTGTGCATACCCACCGGAACGCGTGTGCATTCAAACCAGCAGCCCACATGCTCTGCATGGGGACAGGAGCCCCAGCACACCGCGATCCCTGTTCCCTCTTCATGCCCACGCTGACCACCGCAGGAGGACAGGAAGAAGGCCAGTCAGCCTGCCAGAGGGCCCACGTTCTAGCTCTGCACGCATCCTCACAACCCCACTCCAGAAACATCCTTCCTGGTCTGAGCCTCAGTTTATCCTATCCAAGGGTGACCTCTAAGGACATGTTCAGCTTTTATCTTCTGTACCTCCTGGAGAGGCCAAGGCTTTTGATCCTAGGCCGGCACCCGGGACCCTCCCCCAGGGGCCATCCCCCCCCCCCACTCCGCTGTCCACTCCTTGAGTCCAGGGGCCCCTGTCCCCAGCTCTGGCCGCGGCTGCATCCTGATCCCAGATCCCAGGGGTCTGGAGCCCCGCTGCAGCTGAGGCCAGTGAGAATGGAGTTTTCTCTCCGAGTTAAATTTCCCCCGCCTTTTTGATGTCACATCCTGTCCCAGCCTGCTTCCCCGCCGGCCGCCGCCGCCGCCCTCCCCCTCCCGCGCGTGAGCGTGGCGCGCGGGTCCCTCTGCGCCACCCCGCCCCCGCCTCTTCCCAGCAAACTTTTGGCACCCACCGCCTCGAGCCGCGCATCTGCGCTCCGCGGGGCGCGGGAGCCGTCAGGAGGAGGGGCGGAGGAGGGGCAGCACGCCGGCCCCGCCCGGCCCAGCCCTGCCCGGACCGCGCGGAACCGCGGGACGCGATCACTATGCAGAGCGGAGGCTCCGCGCAGCAGACCCCGCGCGCCGCCTGCTCCGGGTGCTGAAGGTGCGGGGACACGGCCAGGCGCCGCGGAGCCAGCAGAGCCGGGAGCGCGAGCGCGTCCGCGTCCACGCAGCCGCCGGCCGGCGAGACCCAAGGCTCCCTGCATGCTAGGACGTTGGAGGTGGCAGCGAGACATGCAACCGGCCCGGAAGCTCCTCAGCCTCCTCTTCCTCATCCTGATGGGCACTGAACTCACTCAAGTACGTGCATCCAACGCCATTTTCCTCCCTGCGTGCGAGGTGCCCGCCCGGCCCCCTGGGAGCCCGGCAAAGTCGGGCAGCGGCTCCGCGCAGCCCCGCGCCCCCTGCCTGGGCGCCCGAGCCCCGGGGTTTGGGAGGGGGCCAGAGTGCCGGGCCGCACCTGGGTTGGAGGGAGGGGTGCAGACTGACCCGAGACTGGTGCCGGCTCCCCAGGACCCCCCAGCCCTGACTCAGCGGGGCTGCACAGCTGCCCCCCGCCCCCCAGGACTCCCCGGCCTCCAACTCCTGCTGAGAAGTTCAAAGGGCAGCATGAGGGGGTCATTTGGCTGCTGTTGTCATCTGGGGGGAAGACAGAGCAGGATGTCCAAGCCCCTGGCGTTTTCAGAGGTAGATCTGACCTAATTCCCACCCCACCCCCCACCCTGCACCCTGCTCCCCTCTTCTGGAGCATCCTGCATGCACCCCTTTGGTTATAACGCTGCCCTTGGGGCTTCCCAAGCAGCCACTGGGAATTGTGCCGCTGAGACCAGACAGGGAAGGGCAGGCGGCAGGCATGTGTGGGGCTGGGGTGCATTGTGGGCTCAGTGTGGCAGGCTTGGGGGTTGCGGCCACAGGCGCGGCGTTAAGTGTGAGTGGCAAGCGACCGTACGCGTGTGCGGGGACCGCTGGGCATTTTAAGCAGGCTTGCCATCCCCTGAAAAATGTGTCAATAGAGATCCTGTCTCAGGCTGGTATTCTCCATTTTAAGAATGTATTTCGGAGCTGGCAGGTCTGGGGGAAGGAGAAGGGCTGTCTGGGAGCGCCCGGCTGGGGGTGTTGCTTTGGCACCAGGGTGCTGGGAAGAGTCTGCCAGCTTCAGGAGCCAGGCTGCACGGGAGTGACATTAAAATGCCCTTTGGATGGTGCCACTGTGCCACGCTCTGAGCTGAGAGACGCCGGCCCTTTGGAGCTGCAGGTCCAGGAAGTGGATGGGCTGCCAGCACTTGGCCCCAAGCCCCAGCTGCCCCAACCCTCCTTCCCTCCCTCCCCACCGCCCTCCCTCTCAGAATAAAGGAGGAAACAAAAGAGAGAAGAGAGAGAGAGGTGGATCACAGGAGAGAAGGCTCTGGAACAAGCTTCCCTTGTTTTGCCTCCAAGCCCTTGCCAGCTCCCTGACTCTGCCCGAGAAGTGCAGCCCCAACCCCAGCCTCTGGAGGGTTTTGTTGTCCCACCTGCCCTCAGTGACCCCTGCCCGGTGTCATCTGACAATCAGCCACTTCCCCTGGAGAGGCTCTACAAGGTCTCCAGGAGAGAAGTTTTCCTGGTGGTGGGGAGGCCTGGCTGAGTGGTGGGTTTGTGCGCTGTGGATGGACAGTTGCACACATGCACGTGCACACTCACGCATGCTCACACCCACAGCCCTGAGCACACACGGGCAGAAAGGAGCCAGGCAGGTTCTGATTAGCAGCTTGTGCCTTACTTAGGCATTTCGGGAAAGAGATGGCTGGTCCCGGGTGGGCTGGAAGTGGCTGCCCTGAGGGCGCTCCAAGCCTTAATGGTTCTGACTTCCGGGCACCCTGAACTTCATTCCCAGTCCACAAGACGCTTTTCCTCCGTAGGCTCTCCTCCACACACCTTTTTCAAGACCCCCTGTTCTTGGAAGAAACTTTTGGTTCAACTTCAATTGCAAGCTTCGTCTTGGTGGTGAAAGTGTTTGGCTGTCCACACTAAAGGTGCCAGCCATCGGAATCTCAGCCAGCCCCTGCACACACACCTGCGTCCTCACCCTGCATGCTGACCATCCCCTTCAGGACCCTGGACAGCTCCCCCGGGGCAGGGAAGGCAAAAGGTGTTGTTTTCTTCCTGAGGTTCATCTTTCTGAAGCTGAGTGGAGGGATCTCTCAGGGGAATGTGTCCCTCAACGCAGCCAAGAGGCACTTCCCCCCTCGCGCATGGCCCTGCCTGCCCTAGGCCTGCCTCTGAGGTTGTGTTTTCAGAATCTTCCGTAGGAGGCCTATTATCCCTAACTGTAGTGGGATTTTAGGGCAGAGACTCAGCCCGCTAAAATCACTGTCACCATTTCAAGTCTAAGAAGGGCTCAGAGAGTGGTGGGCTCCGACCAGCTCCAGAGACCCCGGCTACCCTGGTCCTACCCGGGTAGGCCCCTTGGGGTTGGGCCAGGTGCCTCTCACCTGGAGCAGTGCCCTCTAGGGCGGGGTCTGGGGTGGGAGTGGGTGTGGGTGCAGAGCTGGGCTGCTCTGAATCTGAGAGCTGTCTGGGGACATCCATACCCAAGAATCTTATTACTTACCTTTGTAAAGGACTACGATCCCTCTGGGCTTTAGGAAAAGGAGGACAGAGCACTGGTGATTGAGCTGTGTGGTGTCTGTCCCCTGCCACCTTTTTCTCCTCCCACTTTAGGTAAATTGCACTGCCCCCCACTGCCACACCTCACTTTTAGGGGCCCTTCCAAGGGACACAATGTTCCAGGGCTGCTGCGTTTGTGGATCAGCAGGCGTGGTAATGGGGACAAGTCAGAAACGTATGGATTTCACCTGCACTCGTGGATGTTGCTTGAAGGATTCAGGCAGACGGGCAGGGGAGTGGAGCACATGGCCGGGCCATCTGTTCTCCTGACAGCTCACTTACGATGAGCCACTCAATCAAGTGCCAGCTCTTGATGGATGGCCTACTGCGCACCAGGCTTGTGGGCTTGCTGAACTTTGTCCTCAGATAGAAAGACGTTTTCCTTGGTCCTCTTCTTTGATTTTTAGTGAAGGGCTGGCGTTTCACGCTCCTTGAGAGGCGTCGTGGGGAGCTCCCCAGCCGGGGTGCAGAGGAGTTGCTCTCTCTGTCCTGGGGGAGATGGGGCAGCACTGGGGCTGCCTGAGCTCCTGGCCCACCCCAGCTGCCCATTCAGATGGAAGTGTGTCCCCTGGATGTGATGGCCTGAAAGGGCTGGGAAGTCGGTACCATGACCTTGCACTCTGCTGCCCTGACTCTTCGACTCCCACCAGGCACCGTCTCGTGAGCTTGAGAGAGGCTCTTATCCTCTCAACCTGAACTTCCACCTTTTTAAAACAAGGAGGACAAAACTAGATGATTCTAGAAGGTGTCTCCCTACTACAAACCCCAATCCTGCTCGTTCAGTCGCTCACTCATCCTTTCCGTTCACGTGCCGTTCTCGGGTGCCAGCTGGTCGGGTTTAACTCGGTCAGACCTGGGCTTATGATGCTGAGCGAGTCCAAGCTTTGCCTTCTGGCATCTGAGCTGACATGCTTTGTGAGAAGACCCGAGGCTCTGCCGTAATTATTAGTTTAAGAGGCACGAGAGCTGTCTGAGCCAAGTGCTCTGGGACCGGAGTGGAGGGAGGATTGAGTTGTGCTGCGGAAGCTGGAGAAAGCGTTGGAGGAGGGGTGATGCGCAAGCTGGGTCCCAAGGTTGCCCCTGGGTCCAGCACTGAGCCAGGGGCAGGAAGATGGAGAGAGAACAGGTGGGCAGAAGGGAGGATGCACACAGAGGCTGCACATGAAGAAGGGCCAGACACCTGGGCTCTTGTGTGCCGAGCTCAATAAAGGTGTGTTGAGGAATCCGCTTTAAGAGTGAAGTAGATCCCTTCTCATTAGCTGTGCTAACCCCAGGCTGGGCATGGCCTTTCTTAACAACGTAACGCCCCCTCGACATCCTGGTGGGGTTCCAGCTGTAAGGAAGCCCAGACCGTCCAGGAGTGCCAACTGTTACTGTGGTTGTCATGTGCCTTCAGGCTTTATGGAGTGACTGCTGTATGCTCCGTCCCCGAGGCTGATAGGCTGTTTGCCGGTCTAGGCACCTGAGTAGAGATGTGGCCAAACCCTGGACTCGGCTCGGGGGAGGTGTGTGGGTGCTGTGTATGGACAGGGCAGGGGTCACCAAGGAGCTGGCGTAGAGTCAGCCCCCTCAGAATCCCACTGAGGCCCCTCACCTCAAAGCTGTTCTCTCATCCTCAGACTCAGCTGCTTCGACAGTGGAAGGCCCCAACCCACTTCCCTGGACAAATTTAACGAGAATAAAACAGCTGAATTTTGTCACCTGCTCGAGGCTCAACTTGGGCCGTTTGACCCCGCCGACATCTGTCCACCTGCCCCAGCCCCTCAGCCCCCACATCTGCCCTGGACACTGGAGTGCTAGTGGCTATCAGGGAGTTCGGGGAGCACTGGGGTCTCTCCCTAAATTAGTTAGTTCACAATGCAAGGAATTTATTCCGTCTTTGCACTGCAGTTGGCTACTGCCACGGGGGCTGGCCTCCGGACCCACGAACAGCCATGAGAGGGGGGCTTCCACTGGGCGAGAAGGCACCGTGACACCAGGGGGGCGTTAAGCTCTAAATCCTCAACATGAGGCAGCTGCTTCATCTCCGAAAGCAATTTGCTTCTCATTCCACTAACTTCAGCCTTCCCCAATAAAAAGTAAGGTAATTTTCCGCCTTGGGTTGTATTTATCACTCAAGTTATCAGGCCCTGTAATCAGTATTAACACCACCGTGTAAAGTAATACAAAACTAATTACTAGCTAAACTGAATTAGATGCATGGCGCCTGTGAGCCAGGCGGATGGGGAGAGGAGCCAGTTTTCAGCTCTGGAAGATGCTCTGTGGACGCTCTTCACACCCTGAAACCGCCAGTCGTAAGGTTGTTCCCATGGCCTAGGTAAGGAGAGGAGGACGTGGAGAGTGAAAAATGCATCTCTCTTCATTTTTTCAGATTATGACACACAGAAGAAACTTGCCAGGAGCTTAAAGCACTCGGGGTAAAGCCCGTAATGAGGGTTAATATTCTCTGAGTGTCACTGTATGTCACACTCCCTGCCAGGAGCTTAATCTGGATCAGGTCGCAGCCGTCCTGGCAACCCTGTGTTACTGTCCCCGTGCTCGAAATGAGGGGGCCGAGGCTGGGGAACCTGCCTGTGGCCCTGCACGTAAGTGACAGACCCCAAACAGCAAGCGAGTCGCAGTCCCAGGTCTGTCTGTCACCTGAGACACCTGAG